GCAGCATTCTTGCATACTCGAGAGTAGGAGAATGAGATTCACAAGTTTCTTATGGGGTTTCGTGATGAGTTTGAGGGGCCTCGTTCCTAGATCTTGTCCATGTTGAGACTTTCTTCTCTTTATGAGGTGTATGTGATAATTGAGCAACATGAGCACTGTGTCTATATTGCATCACTTCTAGTTGCGGCCTTGACTCCTTCAGCTGACCAGATGGCCCTTGTAGCTGCTGTAGGGTCTTGTTCAGGATCCTTAGTCAGGGGTGGACAGCGCTCAGACTAGCGCCGTTAGAGTGCCCCAGATTAACGTAGCCAGGGTGGTCCTCGTTAGTGTGATTATTGTGGCCAACCAAGACATCTCAGGGCTACTTGTTGGAAGCTCCATCCAGAGCTTAAGTCGCCTCCTCGCGGTCGTACTACTGCTATTGCTGAGGTACCACCACCTACTACCACTGCTCCTCTTTGGCAGAGTGACATAGATGCTATCACTTTTCAGTTGGATATATTTATGACTGCCCTGACTTCTCAGGGTCCAACTACTGCTACTGCCACCAATACAGGTATACCTCGTACTTTTCATGCTTGCGTCAGTCCGTCTCCCCTTTAGATGCTGGACTCGGGTGCAAATGGTCATATGACAGGTGAGACCTATCACTTCACCACTTTTGATGAACAGTTACATACACAGGTTCAACTAGTAGATCAGACACATGCCCCCTATTGTTAGTAGGGGTACAGGCCGTCTACCAAATGGATTTACATTACATTCAATTTTTCAAGGGCCAAAGCTAGTCATGAATCTATTATGTGTACATCAGTTAGCCAAAGATTTTCACTGTGTAGTTGTGTTCTTATCTGATTTGTGTTATTTGCAGGACCTGAGTACCAAGATGATTATTATCAAGGGACTGAGCGAGATGAACTGTATTAACTAGGCGATCCACCTTCAGTTTCACTAGTTCCTTCACCTCCATCACTTGCACCTGCACTTGCTTTGTCTTTATCTGTTTCTAGCTTGCATGTTAGTATTTTACCTAGTACATGTCGTTATGATTTTTCATCACAAACTGTTTAGTTGTGGCATGACCATTTTGGGCATACAAATTTTAAATATTTATGTATGTTATTTCTTGCTGTAAGCAATGCTTGTATTGGTGGTAAACTTGACTATGTTATATGTTCTCTAGTGAAATATGTTCAGACCAGTTATATTTCTCGCATGCACCAGTCACCAAAATCATTTGATCTCATACACTCTGATATTTGGGAACCTTCTCCTGTTATTGCTTTGTCAGGTGCATGATATTATGTGGAATTTATAGATGACCATATCCGTTGTACTTGGGTCTACCTTTTGTATGGGAAGTCTGATGTACTCCCAGTCATCACTCAATTTCTCTAGATGATTAAGACACAAATCAATGTCATTGTTCATGTTCTTCATTCGGATAATGCCAAAGAATATGTCTCTGATGCCTTAGTGTCTCACATTTTTTCCCAAGGTATTCTTCAATAGCTCACTTGTCCATATACTCTTGAGCAAAATGGAGTTGTTGAAAGAAAAAGTAAGAGTCTGATAGGGATGGTACGGTGTATGCTTAGAGATATGGAGGTACCAAAATCTTATTGATATTTTACTGTTTTTAACTTCTACCTTTTTGTGTAATCGTACATCGAGTCGTGTTCTTCAGCATGAAGCTCCTTTATAAGTCTTATTCTCTGAGCGGACACTTTTTTCGGTCCCCCCTCGTGTTTTTGGCTGCATTTATTTTGTTCAGGATCGGTCTCTTACTCGTTATAAACTTGATGATAAAGCGATTCATTGTGTCTTTATAGGCTATTATCATTAGTCTAAGGGGTATCAGTGTTATGATTCTGTCAGGCGACGTATGCATCATAGTCTAGATGTTGCCTTTCTTGACCATATTCCTTATTTTTCTTCTACTCCTATGTCAATCCCTCCAGTTGATGATACTCCCTTTGATTTTTTGTTACCATAGGAGCCAGAGTCATTGATCACTATTACTACAGAGTCATCAGTCTCTCCTCCTCCAGAGTCACTTATCCCTGTTAGTATCAAGTCACCAGTCTTTCTTCCTTTGCAGGTTTATGTTGGTCGCCTTTACTCTTATCCCTGGGCTGATGTCCCATCTACCTCAGGTGATGCAGGTAATACTTCTCAGTTCGTTGAACATATTGATGCACTTGTTAGTATTGATGAGATTGCAGGTACTGAGTCAGTTATTTTATCTAATGAGACATTGTCAGTGGAGGATGATGATTTAGGGCGTCGTTATCTGTGGTGTGATCACCATCCAGTTGTTCATTATGGTTGGACCGCCAAGACTTTATATTCAGATCTCTGCTTATGTTTCTTGTGATAATCTGTCTTCTACATTTCGAGCTTATAGCATAGTCTTATCAGATACATCGATTCCTCGCTCCGTTCCAGAGACTATGCGAGAGCCCCAGTGGGTTCTTGCCATTCAGACGGAGATTGACGCTTTTCAGTGTAATCATACATGGGATCTTGTCTCTTTATCTTCAGGGAGGACGACTGTTGGCTGTCGATGGATTTACACCCTGAAATTTATTGCGGATGGTACTATTGATCATCATAAGGCTAGACTTGAGACGAAGGGCTTTACTCAGATATTAGGTCGTGATTTTGGTGCTATCTTTGCCTCCGTGGCCAAATTGACTACTGTTCGATAGATTATTTCTTTGGCTGTGGAGTACTCTTGGCCTCTTCATCAGTTGAATGTAAAGAATGTATTTCTTCACGATAATCTAGATAAGATTATTTATATGGATACACCATGGGCTTTTGTGGTGAGGGGGAGTATACTGAAAAGGTATGTCGATTGCGTAAGTCTCTTTATGAACTGAAACAGTCACTATGAGCTTGATTTTCTCGCTTTAGTGGTGTAGTTATATGTTTAGGGTTCACCAGATGTCATTTTGATCATACTTTCTTCATTCGATAGGATACTTCTGGAAAGTGTGTCTTCCTTTTGGTATATGTTGATGATATTATTATTACTGTAGATGATGTTTCTAGGATTGCGCAAGTTAAGGTAAACCTTGGAAAGACCTTTGATGTGAAAGATCTTGAATTTCTGCGATACTTTCTTGGGATTGAGGTTGCCCGTAGCAGCAGGGGTATTGTTCTTTCTCAGAGAAAGTATGTTCTGGATCTTCTCTCAAACACTAGAATGCTGGGGGTGCAAATCGGCATCATCACCTATGATTTTAAACTTGAAGCTTATTGCTGAAGGTGAAGAGTTGAGAGATTCAACTGTCTATTAGAGATTGGTAGGTAGACTTATCTACCTAGCCAGCACTAGGCCAGACATTGCATTCGCTGTCAGCCGAGTTAGTCCTAGCCTCATCTTGATGTAGTTTATCATATCCTTCGGTACCTCAAGTATTGTCTTGAACTTGGATTGTTCTATGCATCAAGATTTCAGACTGGTTCTCTAGCCTGTTATTCAAATTCAGAATATAGAGGAACGTGTAAAGGTCGATCTACTTAGGGTTTCTGTGCTTTTCGAGGTGCTCATCTTATCTCTTGGAAGAGCAAGAAGCAATCAGTTGTCTCTTGCTCGTCAGCAGAGGCAGAGTATCGAGCACTGACACTTGGCATATGTGAGATTATCTGTCTACGATCGATTCTTGGCGAGTTGGAATTTCCAGTGACTTCTTCATCTATATTATATTGTGATAATCAATCTGCTATTTAGCTCACTTCTGACTCTGTATTAAACGAGAGGACGAAACATATAGAGATCGATGTTCATTTTCTTCAGGTGAAAGTTAGTAGTGGTATTGTCATTCTATCGTTTGCGGGGACCAGTGATCAGGTTGTAGATGTTTTCACCAAACCTGTCACTTTATCCATTCTCTGGGATTCCGTTGTCAAGTTTGACTTTGTTGACATTTTTGTGTCTAGTTTGAGGGGGAGTATTGGAGTTATAGTAGCCTAGTTTATTAGGGTTCTTCTTTCCTTTTTTACCCTTATTATAATTTTTATATTTTGTCTAGACCACAAAGATAATTAGATCACTTTGTAATATTATTTGACTATATATGCGGAACTCTACTTATAGTTTGGGTATTCCTTTTCACTCACATCTATCTCAAGTCATGCGATACATGATACGATAAACTTGTTATACCAGACGATACATACGATTGTTGTTCGTTATAGAACAAAACAGATCAAAAAAATTCCCTTTAAATTTTAACCAAAAAATTACGGTTTTCACTTAGAAGTAATTTTTTTAAACAGTAGGTAGTAAAATAATGTCGTTTCACAATCAACAGTTTTTAAGAAATAAAAGTCTTCTTTTTTATTCAATCCATTGTTAGAGCAAATAGTTTGATTAAGTGTCATCCTTTGGCTAGATGTTAGAATTAGAACTCTCTAAATTTTGATACTGATGAATTATGTTAGAAACTTCAATACTTAGATTATTAATTTTTTGTTTTTGTCCTTGTAGTGTCTTTAAATTGTTTTATGTGAGAAATTTATGGTGCAAATATTTTGTCATAAGTATATGTATTTTTTTATATCTTTTATAAAAAATACACGTATCTTGCGATACGCCTTCCGATTTACATTTTTGACAACCTTGCTTAAAGGTAGAACTTGAACATTGGGTTTCACAGTAAAATTTCTGCTATGCTTTTTGTGGACAACGTAAATGGTTGTTGATTTATTTTATTTGTCTCGGGAAAATTAGTAATAGCTCTCTCAGTGACTCAAGCAATTCCAACTTACATGATTCTCAGACATATATTTTAGATTCAAGATTTTCTTGTTTTTGATAAGTGGAAATTTTGTTTGTTATGGGTATACAAATTATAAAGGGAACTTTATCATAGACATCCCCCTTCCTCTCCTTTAATTAAGTGGGGTGAGAAGAAACAGTTAGAAAGCCACTCTTTTTGATATGGTTCATCTGTTAAAATTCACCACTTCATCCTTTATTATTTAACTAGGGCCATAGCAGAGTACCTATCTCAAGATCTTCCATACAAGCTATCAGCAGATGATGTTTATTTGACACTTGGATGCACACAAGCAATTGAAGTCATATTATCAGTCCTTGCTCGCCCCAAAGCCAATATTCTATTGCCAAGACCGGGCTTCCCATATTATGAAGCGCGCTGTAGATATAGCCATCTTGAATTCCGTCACTTTGATCTTCTTCCAGAGAAAGGTTGGGAGGTTGATCTTGATCAAGTTGAAGCACTTGCGGATGAAAATACTGTCGCGATGGTTATTGTGAACCCTGGCAATCCTTGTGGAAATGTCTTTACATACCAACATCTAAAGAAGGTATGTATCTTTTATTTTGCTACCGGGCCGGGGGAGGGGGGGGGCGCGGCTTTGTAATTGCATGACTTTTGGATATTTTGCTAATGGTGAGTGGGATGATTTAGGTTGCTGAGACTGCAAGAAAGCTTGGGATATTAGTGATTGCTGATGAAGTTTATGATCATCTTACTTTCGGGAGCAATCCATTTGTTCCCATGGGGGTCTTTGGATCAATTGCTCCTGTTATCACGGTTGGGTCTATATCGAAGAGGTGGATTGTTCCGGGTTGGCGACTTGGTTGGCTTGTTACCAATGATCCCAACGACATCCTCAAGCAACACGAGGTACTCTCTTTCTCTCTCTCTCTCCCTCCCTCCCCCCCCCCCCCCCCCACACACACACTAGTGTTCTCATCCATCATGGTTTTCCTTGATTTAGTAGTACGCTACACATAAATTTCAAAGGTTCTCCTGATTGACTTTTAGCCATTCAGGGCATGCGCTTCCAATTGAGCGACTATAATTGCCACCCCAAGCCGTAGAAATCCCTTGTGAATAGGTTTATACTTTCTCGACCAGCAAGTTAGAGTTGCATTTGTACGAATGGAGTCACATATAGACTCTGGTCCTTATGTCCTGTGAAGTCTCTTATGTGCCCAAAAAGAAAACGGAAAGACAATTTATAGTTACTCCTGGAGAAAAACCAGGAACAACAGTGAGCTTCCTGATCCAGTATGTAGTTACTCTAGGAGAAAAACATGGGACAGATATTTGCAGCTGGACCCCAACAAATTGATTGTGGACTACTGCCAACCTTTCGTGAATATTACTTGATTCGAGTCTCGAATAGTTATTTTTTTTTAGATTTAGAGTGTTTAGATGTTTCAGGGATGTTTAAGGAGACAACTGCATTTGGGTTAACATTTGAAGCAAAAGTAATCGTGAAGACATATCGAAACTGGATACCTAAAACCAAAAAATCCAAAACAGGTTATTTAATTTAATCCTAAAATGTGCTGTCCTTAAACAGGTGTTCAGAAAACCATGCAATTTTGCTAAACAAATTTCAAGGTAAAGGACAACAAGCTTATTAATTAGTATGACTATCCAAACACCATGTAGTTTTGAAAATAGTTTCCTGCTGAGGAGATGACATATCCAGTCGCGCATAACATTAGGGAAATCCCTTTAAACACAGGATTGCTTATTTAAGTTCTACCAAGAAAGATGTCGTAAAACTTAATGTGCATCCACAAAGATTGTGGTGCAGATATAGTTCCACAATGATAGGAAATCTATTGGAGTGGAAATCATAAATGGAAGACTTTTGTACAGAACTTTGTACGGTATGTGAAGGGATGTAATGCAATATGCACATTTTGATAATTATTTTCTTATTCGTTTAGATCTGGCATTTCCCAATAAAGTAATTCTTTTTTTTTTTTTCTTCTTTCCAGATTGCCAATTGCATTACGGGTTTTCTCAATATATCCTCTGATCCTGCAACCTTCATTCAGGTTTGTAGTTCATGATACTGTTTGAATAACATACTAATCTTATAATTGTTGAAATGCTATCAGAACTTATACATCGTAATTGTCTAATACTGGACCTTTCTTGGAGCATTCCCTTGAATGGGTAGAGGAACCAGATATTCAGGTTTGATGACTCATTGTAGAAGAAATGTTGAATGATTTAAAAAATAAAGGAAACTCTATGTGCTCAATTTGTTTGTATGTATCATGAACATTACTCTTATGTAGTCTGTTGTCATCTACTTCAGAAATTTGTTAATAGCATTTTGAAGTTGTTTCTTATCTCACCTACACCTTGACCTTCGCATGCAGACACTGACGATACAAGCTGATCATTAATCCGCTATTTTCTCACTCTAATTCTGGGTACACCGTTGTTATTTATTCTTGTCATCAGGGGGCAGTTCCACAAATCCTTGAGAAAACTAATGAGGATTTTTTCTCAAAGATCCTTACCATTCTGAAAGAAGCTGCAGACTTTTGTTATCATGCAATCATGGAGATCCCTTGCATAACTTGCCCAAGCAAACCCGAAGGATCTATGTTCGTAATGGTAAGGGTTAGTTTGTTTAAGATTGTTTCTGGTTCTAAACAAAAGTGTCAAAGTTTAACAGTTACCGTAAAAATATTCTTATTTCAGGTGAAACTAAATCTCTCACTTCTGGAAGGCATTACTGATGATGTGGACTTCTGTGTTAAACTGGCAAAGGAGGAATCCGTGATAGTTATGCCTGGTAAAAATGAACAATTTAAGTTTCTGAAGTTTGTTTAGTTATACAACAACTGACACTTTCTTTTTCTTTATTGACCTTTCAACCTTATAAGTTATACCATCCTTTGCAAAGTGTCGTTTTTCATCCTCTTTCTGCTAGTTAATCAGTTTTAAAAAACATGATAATATCTGTTTCTATACCTTTTGTTTTGTAAATATGCAAAATTTTTGGTCCTCCCGTTGTTTGTTAGCAATGATCTCATGGAACAAAGCAAACTTATTCCCTTATATGTGTCCCCCTCCCAGACAGCCTTGTAGCTAAGAGAATGATTCTGCTCAGTGTGGAGGCTGAAAGCTCAACTAGAGGTGTAAGGAGTGAAATTATCACTTCATATACCTTCGATTGCACTACTCCATCATAAGTGGTATAGGAAATTAGGAATTCATTAACTTCAGACAGAATCTAAGTCATCAGAAGTGATTCTACGCAAAACAGAGTTATTGGGACAAATATAGTAATGATAGTAATTTGAGGAACTGCTAAAATTGACTTGGTCCTTGTGCTTTTATTTAGTTTGTTCCCGAACACTTGTGGTTTTACATCAGGTAAACTAACTTGTGTGTTACTTTCTGTTATCCATTAAGCAAAAGTTCAAATGGTCTCTATTTATCCTGTGCCTTTTTTCCCTCATATGTCTTATCCTCAAATTCGATGAGGCGAGGGATTAACATTTTCAGAGCTCTTCAGCTATTCCATGATTCTGTCATTGATACGGATTTTATTCTCTAGACAGGCTGGTCTTGCATATATATCCCGGGCCTTGTATAGTTTTCACACTTGTTAAAGCCCAAGTAGTAAGGGAAATGTTACTTACAAAGACTCAAAAGCAGTATCTAAAGCGATGTCAATTGTGAGGGTTACATATTTCTTATATAAGCTTTATATAAGAAATAACTTTGGAAAATGACTTTGGAAATAGGCAGTCTTAGTAAAAGCTTTATGCACCAGGCTGACATATTCAAGATAATATGAAACTTGTTCTGTAGGAAATGCATCTGCGGGAATGTTCCAAGCAACAGAGATGAAACCTTTAATGACATGCTATGCTCCCTTTGCAATTGGTCTGGCGAAGATGATTAAAATTTCTTATATGGTTTGATGATGATATTAAAAAGGATTCTTATTTAGTATATTTGTGAATTGTATGCAATAGGGAAAACTTCACTAAAAGGCGTCCATTCGCTCTTTTTGTGTGCTTTCATGCAGGATAGTGTTTTGCATACCTATAAGAAGAGCATTCAATTAGTTTTTCAAATTTTGAAAGTCAAAAGGTGGCTTGTTAGATTTAAAATGACGTCTGATGACACAATGTTCATTGCAGGGGTAGCTGTAGGACTCAAGAATTGGCTTCGCATAACTTTTGCCATTGAGCCATCGTCTCTTAAAGAAGGCCTCGAAAGGATCAAAGCTTTCTATCAAAGGCATGCCAAGAAACAATAAAATCTATTCCTCGCATTCTTAGAATCAGGTGAAGAATAACTCCTGTAATTTCGCGATGTCCCCCATCGGAGACATGGGTTCTGTTCTAAGGATTCAAGTGGTGATGATCATCAACTCTGCGTTGGGATCACAGGTCATCTGAAATGGTGGCATAATAATTCTTCTTGTTCAATAAATTTGATAAACCTTTGGGAGGAATTATTGTCAAACTTATAAACAAGTTTTAGGATGTAAATCTGTATTGGTGATGTATTCAGCTCTTTTCTTTAACTAGTAATGCAGAACGTGCTTTTCGTGAATAATTTTTGTATACACAATATTAATAAAAATTATTAGGTATATGTGTGCTTACATTAAATATTATATTAAGTTTATTAAAAATCATATTTTTATCGCTCGTATTATATTATAAAATTCAAAAAATATTTTCTGTTTTCAGCAATTTGTTGTTCTAATTATAGGAAAAAATATAAAAATAATTCATTTGAAATTCGTTTGATTTGGCTTCAACTGGAATAAAATAACAATAATTATCAATATTCTTATGTCAATAGGTATAAAATATAGGGTTAATAACATTCTGAGTCTCTAAAATATTCATTTTTTTTGTCAATTTCATCATTAATATATGAATTTTATTAATTTTGTCCATAAAATATTCAATTTTTATTTAAATGGTCCCAAACTAGACGATCCATTAAATTTTTTTAATAAAGTGACCACATGTCATTCCATAATTTAGTATCACGTGATCACTTCTATCAAAAATTTAACATATTGTTTGTGTAAACAACATTTAAACCATTAATTTTAGAGATCAAATTGACAAAATTGATACAATAAAGACCAAACTGATAAAACATGTATATTTTAGAGACTAAAAGTGTTATTAACTATACAATATAATATACTACTCTATAATATATATTTTAAAAGAATATTAAAATTCTAAAATTCAAATTTTACTTAAAAATACACTATTTTTTTTTATATAAACTTTTAATAAAACATGAAAATTTTAATGTGATTCAAGAATTATATTGATTTAACATAAATTATTTTTTAAAAAACTAGATAAAAGATTATTTTTTATTTTATAAATGCAATGGTTAAAATTTTAGATAAAAAAATATACATATATAAGCATAATGTTATTTTTATATTTGAAATGAGTAATGTTAGATTGATGAAAGTATTAAAGATTTTTTGAACACTTTATTGAAAACTATAGTGATGCATATATTTTTTAAGGACAACGTAGTCAATTAAAAAATTTCATAGATACTGATATTTATACATAACGAATAGAGAATTAAAAAAGAGATATTATAGGTAATTTGAAGATTTAAACAAATAAGTATATGATGGTAATTTAAATATTTAACTACGGAAGGATAATATGGTATTTAAAATTTTTTATAAGAGTAAAATAGTAAATCAAAAAATTTTCATTCTTAGGTATTTTTATTAGTAGTATAGATAGAAAAAAAAACATATATAGACATAATGTTATTTTTTTATTTGAAAAAAATAATGATCTATTGATAGACTTTTTGAACACGTTATTAAAAATTATAATGATGCATATATTTTTTTAAGGGTTGCGCAATAAATTAAAAATTTTAATAAATATTGATATTTATACAAAGATAATAGAAAATTAAAAGAGATATTAGAGCGTAATTTAAATATTTAAACACATAAGGTTGCGATTGTAATTAAGATATTTAATCATGAAAAGATAATGTGATATTTAAAATTATTTATAAAGGTAAAATAGTGAATCAAAATTTTTTTCCTTAAGGTACTTTTATTTGTAATAGAGATGTACATTTTGTATTTCTCTTGTGTAGGCGTTCCCGTGACATTTTTTATTATCAATGAAAATCATCATCGAATAGACCATTTAAATGAAAAGTGATTGAAATTTTTTGGATCAAAATCAATGAAAATCAAAGTTACATGGAAGGTGGTCAAGTAGGTACATGTTGAAAGTTTGAGTTTTAGAATTTATATTGCAGTTCAATAGTTGACCGCTATATTAGTCTAGTTAAGTGTTACAGCCGAGCAGTGGATGATATGCTTTGCTTTGCCTATCTCGTGTCTACAACGGATTAAGCAAACAAAGATTAGGTGGTTACTTCGAGGGAACCAAGACTTTAGATAATGATCAACTTGACTATTTTATTCCTCTCCAAACTCTTAAATAGACTCCAGTACAATGGTTCTTCCCAAAAAAATAGAAAGACTCCAACAAAATAGGAAGACTTAAAACAACCCATAACTCACTCAACTGGACTAAAAAATATCAAAACAAAAAAATAATAAAAGCCCTAATACGAAGATTGTTTTCTGAGCGTAATGTAACGTCCCGGTTTTCAGGGACACATTACTTGATTAAATCAATCGATCATAATAAACTACAAATAAATCTCCGAATATAAGGTCAGATCTCTAATTGCCTCAATAAATTTATAATCACAATTTTGATCTCCAAATAACAATAAAAATTTAAAATTATATCAAGATTCATCCATTTTCGATTCCTCAAATATCAACTTTGGTTATTCCATTCAAGATTATCCTGAAAAAAAAATATTAAAAGCGGGATAGTATGCAATATGATCGGAAATAATATACTCAACAAGAAAAATATGAATGATCAAATACTAAATAATCAGATGATAAGAATCATGAATAACGAAATCAAGAATCACATTTGACAAGCCACATAACTCAACTGCTATTAAACTATTTAGTTCTTCTTGATGACCTGACAAGTGACATTTGGACATTTAAATTGCATACTCATATTGAACCATTACACCTTGCAGGGTTGTAATCACAATCGCACCTCGTAGGGACATAATCACATTTCACCAATAATGCCCCAAGTACACTTCGTACAAGTACCAATCAATTCCAAAGTATTTAGCCTAACGTACAGATCAACCGATCAAATTGTCAGAATTTTGAATCAATCAAAATAATCAATAAGAATACAAATATCAGATAATCAAAAGATACTCTTTACAAAGAGGTTTAAAATACAGAAACATATTGTATACTATCTCGTACCTCAAAATTATTAATAGTTTCAATAGATAAAAAACTTGAAGTACCCCGAACAAAACACTTTAATTTGGTAATGATCGAAACTAAAATTCATTATTTAATTTTTAACCCCAAAATTTCATAAATTTCTATCCATCTCTCCGTCTCTTTCTTTCTCTCTCTCTTTCTTCTTTTTTTTCCCTCATGCTTGCTCATTGTTTGAAAGAATATTTATAGTCAATTTGTTGTTTGGCCTCCGAGGCTTTACCGTCATTTGGCGTTGGCGATGCATACACAAGACACTTGTCAAAATTTTTCTTTTTTTTTCCTCCTAAATCTTAACATGACACTTGTTCATAAGATTTGTATATTAATACTTTAAACATTTAATTTTTAAAGTGATATCCAACTCAAAATGTGACCTATATATAGTTATTTGATTCATTTTCACACTAAAAATTTATATTTCAAATCCATTTATTTATTTGAATTTTTTTAAAAAAATTAACTCTCAATTATATAAAATCATAATTAACGTCCTAAGTTAGCAATTAATTCATTTTTTTACGGGTTATCACACGTAAGATCTCTTCCCCCACCCCCACCCCCACCCTCAAGGGTGATATCTGGAAACTGCTATTTGATTAACTCCCGATCTTCCCAAGCTGCATCAGCAGGGGACAAGCCTTGCCAATGGATCAAAACCTCATGCTTCTTCTTTCGAACTCGGCGATCAAGAACAACTTGCGGTATTGGAATGATATTTTGTTCATCACTGCTCATCCTTGGCTACAGTTGTTGGACACAAATATTGTTTCCAATCTTCTTCTTGAGAAGAGAAACATGGAAAAATGGATGAATTCGCGAACCAGCTGACAATTCTAACTTGTAAGCAACAGCTCCAATTCTCTACAGAACCTTGAAGAGACCATAATACTTGGCAGATAACTAAAGTTCTTCATCATGGACATCGAGAGTTGTCTATAAGGCTGCAGTTTCAAATATACCATATCTCCAATTGAAAATTCCCTTTCCTTATGCTTGGAATCATAAATTCGTTTCATTCTTGATTGTGCTTCTTTGATCTTCTCTCGGATTTCCTCGATAACTTCATCCCTATCCATCAACTCTCTTGTTCTTCAACCGCAACCTTAGCTGTTCCTGGAACGTAAGCTAAGAGAGGAGGGGACCACCCATACACCACCTCAAATGGTGTTCTACCAATTATTGTATGCCAACTGGTATTGTAACAAAATTCTACCCAGGTTAGACATTTAATCCAATTCTTAGGTTGAGAGCTTGTGAAGCACCTAAGATACATCTCCAACGTATGATTTACAACTTCACTTTGACCATCTGTTTGAGGGTGATAACTGGAACTGAAGTTGAAGGTTGTGCCATTTAACTAAAATAACTCTCTCCAAAATGCACTGGTGAATGTTGGGTCCCTATCATAAACAATAGAATGGGGCATCCCATGCAATTGAAAAATGTGATCAAAGAAGACTCGAGCAATCCCAATAACAGTGTATTGATGAGCAATTGCAATGAAATGTGCATATTTTGATAGCATGCCTATAATAGCAAAGATAGTGGATTTACCATTAGAGATAAGCAACCCATCAATAAAATCCATGGATATATCCTCCCATACTTGACTTGGTATGGGGAGTGGTTGTAGGAGGCCGGCTGACGCTAGTTGCTCCACTTTGTCTCTGGCAAGTATCACAATTTTAAATGAACTCCTTAATCCTCTTCCTCATTCCTCTCCAATAAAAGTTCGAACGGATGCAGTGAAAAGTTTTAAGGAATCCTTCATGTGTGCTACTGTGAAAATGCTCTATTATGTCCTTAATAAGATAAGACTCTTCTGCAAGATACATCTTATCTTAAAAAAATAAGATATTGTCTTGCAGTCTCCAAGGACCCACAACTTCACCTTCCTTAACCAATTGCTAGAGAGATGAATTTGATTGTGTTTCTTTTTTTTTTATTATTTTCTACCCAATTTGGTATTGGCTAGGACATAGCACAAGTTTCTCCCAAATTGTCTCCTTTTTCTTTTCTCCTATAAAGAGCATCTGCAACCATGTTCTCTTCCCCCTTATATACTCCACAAAAAAATCGAACCCCATTAATTTGTAGAGCCACCTTTGATGGGCGACAGTGGTTATCTTCGGGTTCCACAGATACTTGAGGCT